TGGGTGGGTGCATTCCTGGGTTAGAACAGCCTTTTCCCTTGTTTTTAATTTATTTATTTATTTGGTTGTGGGTTTGGGTTTCATTTGAGGGTAAGCTGCCATTCCCCGAGCCTGGAAACGCAGGCCTGGAATGCGGGGTGCCTGGGGAGAGGGGCCGCATGGGTCGTCATCACTCAGACCCTCGCAGGCTCCGTATGAGCACATACAGCGCTAACCGTGAGGGGGCTGCACAGCAGGGGCCGGGCTGGAGCCTCCTGGCATCTCTCTGGTGACTGGAGGCCGTGCACAGCCACACACTGCCCTCCTTCCCGGGGCTGGCGCTGGGTTGGCATGGCTGGCTCAGATGGATCAGGCAGTGCAGCGGCCCCCTGTCATAAGGGCATAGAAGCTTCTGGGCAGGCCGGGGGCAGGGAGCCCAGCATGGGCCCGAGGACAGGACTAGGAGAATCCTCCCAGAGGGGCAGGTGGCTCTCCACCTTGGCTCTGACACCTCTGGGTTCTTGTTCGGGGTCTGGGGAGGAGGTGGTTTCGGTCAGCTCAGCCTTGCTCGCCCTGTCCTGGATATGGACCCTCTGGCCCTGGAGGTGGCTTCTCCCTGTGGCAGGTGGCACGGAGCACTAGTCCTGGCCCGACGAGCCTCAGCTTCCTCCTCTGTAAGATGGCGGTTTGGGGGAGGGGTGTGGACTGGCTGTGGGACTCCGGGCAGTTCCTTGGTGTGGGGCTCCCACAGGGTGGTGTGATGGGACGCTCTGGGGACACGGCACTCCAGGCTGACCTCCGGGGAGGACACTGTGCCACTGCAGTCTCTAGACCCTGGGAGACCCCTCCTGTGGGAGCAGTACCAGCCCTATCCAGTTGGGGGCCACCGTCGAGACAGAAGGGTCTCAGGTGTGAGGTCTGCGTGGCCCAGGCCCGAGGGCCGAGGAGAGGAAGCCATCATCCATTACTCTGCTAGCGCAGGGCTAGCTGCTGCCTCCTTTGTGAACTCGGGTCGCTGTGATTGTGAATAAAGGTGATTTCGTACCAGCCCGAAGGCTGTACTGTGGTGTGGAGGGCGGGGAGGAGGGCCAGGGTGCACGTGTGTGCATGTACGAGCGTGCAGGGCAGAGGGTCGTGCACCCTGGATAGAGCGGAGTCATTAAGAGGTGAGGCCTGACTCCTGGGGACAGTTGTGGGTTCTCAGGCACCAAGGTGGGTTGGGAAACCAGGGAGGAGTGCCTGGAGCCGGGCCTGCAGTGGGGCTGGGGCTCGGGCAGCCGGGGCTGGAATGCCAGGGAACCCTGTCAGTTGGTCAGGAGAAGCCACTGCCCTCCGGGTTTGCGGGGGGAGGGTGGTGGGGGTGGTAACAGGGAGTGGCGGGCAGGAGCAGGACCAACAACCAGGATGCCCAGCGTCTGAAGGCAGACGGCGCAGGCTCAGCCCAAGACCCTTGTGGGGTGGGCAGCGCCACCTAGGGGCCAGTGGGAGGACGGCAGGCCCTCCACTCAGGCCAGCAGCGGTTGTGCTGGCTCCCCACCTCCCCAGGCTCACACCCTCGCCCGAAGTGTGGGGAGAGCTCGAGCTAGGTGGTGTCCCCCGGGGGTGCAGAGGCTACACCAAATGAGTGGTGCCGCTGGGGAGAAAAGGGAGGCCTCCAGACAGAGACCTTGAGAGAAGCTTTCTGGATGCACTCAGTACTTCGAGGTGGCCGGGAAAGCTGGGGTGGGGGCTGAGGGAGGAGGTTGCCACACTGGCCTCAAGGTCCAGACAGGACGTTGGGCTTGTGCCCATTTGGCAGGGCCAGGCTGGGTCTCAGAGGCCCGTGGGGTGCCCGCTCACCCACCCTCTCTCCTGGGACGATGCTCTGGCTCCTCAGCTCTGTCTGGCCTTAAACCGTCAGGGGCTGACCCCACACCAGGACCCCCTGCCCTGAGTCTCGGAAGTAGCTGAGGGACCAGCTGGGCCTGTGCGTGGGGGAAGAGCCTGAGGAACTTACCTGTCCCCCCACCCTCCAGTCCTTCCAGAGGGCCGGGGAGTGTAGATTCAGGAAGAATGAAGAGGTAATTCTGTGCAGTTAAAAAGGCCAAAAACTTTATTTAGTTTTCAGGGAAATACAAGATGCATGTAAACATAAAATACAAAACAACCCAAATCTTACAGTCTAGAAGCATGCCGAGACAGCCATTTCTGCAGGCCGGAGAGGCCTGTCAAAGTAAAAAAGGACACCTGGAAAGTGGCAGGCCAGGGGGCTGGGTCCCTTCCCCAAGGACACTGCATTTTTGTCATGAGATTAAAAAACAACAAAAAGCCCCACAATTAGGAATATTAGAAACCTGGAGAGGAGTTAGCACCACCATTGATCCTGGAAGAAGTTTAGCACTCAGATCAACTACTCTGAATTCAGTGTCCTTTGCTCCAGCTTCTCTGTTGAGGGGAGAAGAGGGGAAACCTGGAGGGGCTCCTCCTGACCACTGAGAGGGCTTGAGCGTCCACCATGAGCGAGCCCCCAAAGTTCTGGAGCCCCGGAGGCACCTGACAGTCCACAGCCAACATCAATCCGCACACTCATGCCTAGGGACCTGCCTGGAAGGAGCCCTCCTGTCAACCTCTTGGCAACTGACAGGAACTCATCTCCTGTCCTGTGTCCTAGACTTCAAACCTGCTGCAGAGAACAAGCTGGAAACTCAGGAACGGGCCGATTACTCTCCCCTTGCTCTAAATCAATGCCTAGGAGCAGCGTGCCCTGGTTACAAGCCCTAAAAGCCAGAAGGCTGTATCCATGGGGAGCCTGTCTCACCCTGTGAAATTCATACCGGGAGGCAGACTCGGCAAGCTGATCCACCCCAGTATCATAGGGATACTTGGGAATAACTTGGGAAGGACAGGACAGAAGGGGCCATTTTCCTCCCATATGTGCCTGGTGGAGTTCTGGTTTGGGATGGTGGGTCCCTACTGAGTGACCCACTGTGGTCACTGGTCTCTAATTGATTGCTACAACTCGGGAGGCTGGCTCTGGGTTAGTCATAGGGGGATGGGGACATCAGCTGGGGACCCGGGCGACTGGTACATGTTCTGAAAACAGCCTCCGGATTCAAATAGTTTGCAGATGGCAACTTCTCCTCCCCACCAGGTAAAACCAGTGACCACCCCTCGACACCTGCTGGGAACCCCCGTGAGCAGCGATTTTCTCCGGCCAGTTCCTTCTACGGACAAATTTGGGGGATTCCTCAGCCTGCTCTGGCTGGACCGTTGGGTGCTCCATCACTAAATTCCTTTCCTACCTGCTCTCTTCCTGAAACGCCCAGAATTGACTTCTTCCTTCTTTCTAATCAATAAAGACAAAACAAAACCGCAAACCCTCTCTCAGACTTCTCACCCTTTCTGCCTAGAAGACATCCTCTTCTGGAAGCTTCCTTCCCCATGAAGGGAGGACGAGCCCCAGCCACCTCAAACATGCACCCACTTATCACCAACATGCCTCTCGCTTACCTTCAACGTGCTCGATCCATCCTCCTGCTCTAAAGCAACAGCTCCTCTGACACGCGCACCTCGAGGCCTGACCCATAAGCCAGGATGGAACTGGGAGCAAGGCAGGCCACTGTAGCCCAGGGACCCCTTTCTCTAAGGCCACCAAGTCCCTGGACTGAGATGGGGGAAGGCGCTGATTGTCAAGGTCACGTGTGAGATAAAAAAGGACCCGGGAGAAGGGAAATCACATGCTAAGCCCAACCTCAGAGGTCGGTTGGGCTCAAGGCCTCGAAGGGTTGGGCCCCTCCGCCCATTCCATAAACATCCATGTGCCCAACGTGTGGCGTGGGGCCCCAGCTGTGCAGGACGGAACGGGGGGGGGGGGGGGGAAAATCAGGGGGGCTTGTGGCGGGGAGGGGGGGGGGAAGGGGGGGGGGGGGGAGTTAAAATCAGTGTGGCTTGGGGCCGGCAGGTGGTATGGCTATTAAGGCGCAGGATTCCCATGTGGTCGACCGCGGTTTGAGTCCTGACCCCGGTGGCTAGAAAATCATGTCAGGCGTGTGTGCGCGAGCCCAAAACCTCAAGAGGAGAATGGAGCAGAAGCGATGTGGCCTGGCCATCTCCTCCGGGGATGTTTTCTCACTTTCCCTCTCACTCTGGCCAGGGCACAAGACCTATGGCAAACACCTTCAACAAAAAAAATACAGAGCTGTTTTTCTCCAAGGCTGTAGGTTATGGGCCTTGTCCTCTCACTGGCTCTGATCATAGAGCTTGGGAACCACAGAGACGTGAAGCCTGCCCCAAATAGGGCTGATGATTTAGCCAAAGGCTCAGAGGCCCAGGGAGGCCCTCCACCCTATCCGTTGTGATCAGTTAGGGCCTGCAGTTGGGCCCAGGAGCGCCGATGTGTGCTGAGGGCAAGGCAGCCCTGGCCAGCCTGACCTACCCTCAGTAATGAGAACCCTGGGGCTGACAACTCCTGTGAGTGTGGCGGTCGGCCTGCTTGATGGCAACCTGCAGGGGTGACCTGCTCCAGCTGCTCAGTGCCCCTGTGCCCAGCACCTTTCCCGTGTGACGGCCTAGGCTGCTTCTGCTAGATCTGTTAATGCCAGTGTGAAGTTTCCAATGAAATACTTTATAAAATAAGTACAAAAACAAACAAACAAACACGACACATTGCACTCTCCAGCCAGAATCGTGTGTGTGAATCACACGCACTTGTTGCCAGAAGCTGGGAGTCCCTTGGGACCTGCCCAATGCCAAGGACTTACTCAGTGGAGACGGCTTGCCCAATAGCTTTTCCTCTAACCCCATGTCATTTAGTTCAAGCGGGAAATTACCAACACACACGCACACGCGCACACACACACACCTGCAGTTTCTCAACACACAACCCTCAAAAAAAATGAGGGAATCTTAATTTTTTAGTGATGTGGATGGTTCTCTTTCCTGAGGGCTCTGCATTGGGATTCATCAGCGACTGCCGTGGAGCTGACCCACCTGTATACCCAGAGACCAGGGCAGGGCAGTCCCACTCTGGACACAGAGATCCGCATCTGTCTAGAGATTCCCATGGGGGGGGGGGAGCAGCAAGCATACAGTACTGGAGACAGAGGGGACAAGCCAGCAAGGATGTTCTGTCGCCCTGAGGGCTTGGACCCAGAGACTTCCCATTCTGCCACTTTCTCTACTGGTGCCAAAAAGGGGGAGGCTGGCTGGGTACCTGTTGTAGGAAGTCCTGTCTGCAGAGAGACCAGAGCAGACCCCTCAGATTCTTTTCAGAGAGGAATTCTTGGGGACCCCCCAGGGAGTGGAGGGCACGCAGGGCTCCCTCCTCAGGCTGTCACTGAGATGAACGGGCAACCCCGACTCAGCTGTAGACCCTGCTGCAGGCCGTGGGGTCTGGTGTCTCATGGGTCTATGTAGGGTCTGAGGCACCGACAGCCCCATAAAGGACTTGGGTATGTCTAGAATTCCCACCCACACATGGAACTGAGGTCACAGTTTTAGAAGATTCAAATGCATATCAAAAAGACCATGGCCCAAACGTCAGGAGACTGGGGTGAGCAAGGGCTGCTGGGGTCATGTTTAGGACAGGTCTCTCTGAGCAGCTGGCTGCAAAACCCCGGAAATGAAAACAAGGAACGTTTTCTGGATGTCTGTGCCCTGAGCCAGGGACTGGGGCCCCTGAAGGGCAACAGCCTCATCCATGCCACTTCTCTGCAATCCGTTCTTCAGGATGGACAACACTAATAGGAAAAGGGGCAGCCCTGGCGGGCACCCCTACCATCTTGCCAGGGAAGAGGGTTAACAGATCAATGTCCTCAGCCCGCCGCCTGTCCCACCTCGGATTCCTCCAGCAGCCCCTCTGCCCACCCCTGTCTCTGCAGACCGAGCCATGGGGTCTCCCGCTGCTGTTCCTAGTAAGCCCTGGCCTCCTGCTTGGTCATATTGCACTTTTCCTGTCTCTTGGATTGTTTTCATTTTCGATCGAGAATGCAAAGTATTTGAAGGGGGTAGGGGAAGTGAGTAACCTTAAAGAAATAATATATTAGTTACATACAAAAACAGGAAACAGAGGGGTTATTTTATCTTTTTTTTCCCCCTTAAAAACAAAGCAAACTACTGAACCAAGGTCTAAACTTAAACAGTGCTACGCCTACTCTGTAGCTACTAGTAATATGAAATAACGCTTGACCGAAATTCCCTTGTCTTTCTTCTTTCGACGATAATAGTAGTAACAAGCCTTGCTGAGGAAAGCGACGGATACAAATGCCAGTAAAATATGCTGCTCTAACATCCGAAAGTGATTAAAAGGATTCTATATAATGCCTTCGTCAGGATGGAGAATAGAGGAAGAGGAGGAAGAAAGAAAAACCTTTGGGGCCAGGCTGGGGTGGATGGGGCCACGGCCTGGCAAGACAGAGCCTGGCCACAGGCAGAGGGCATGGGGGACCGCAGGGTACGTGTCTCCTCAGGGCTGCCCTCTCGACTCTCTCTTGCTGCCCTCAAGTTCCCTTGGTCCCATGGGAACAGCACGGAGGAGCCGGGCGATACTGCCAGGCCTGCTGCTCCAAAGAGGGACGACAAGGTGGGGGAGAGATGACGACGTCCCCCCCTGTAACGAAAAGGTCTTTAAAGGGAAAGAAAAACTAAGCACCAAATGATGCATCTTCGGGCATTATATAAACCTCAATAATGACCTCAGAAGGGCTCATTATGATTAAAGTTGCAGTATACAGCAATACGTCATTTCACATTTTCAATCGCAACTAATGGAAAATTCGGTTTGGACACTGCTGAGATTTTGTTTTTCTTTTTCCTTTTTGAGTCCAATCTGCTCTTCCTCCAGATGGGTCAGAGCCACAGGCCCCTCCCTCCTCCACCTGCGGCGGGCCAGCCCTCCATCACAAAGCAGCTCAGTAGCACTAGGGAAAGGCCCTCTTGCCCTGGGAGGCCAGGAGTCCAGGCGCCCAGGCCTGGCGTCCCTGGGGCCGTGTCTGAGGCCTGGCATGCACCCTTCTTGCTTCAAGTATTAATATTCTCTTTGGGTTTGCAGGGTTTGTGCTGTGACTTAGGGGTACTGGTGAGGGGGTGAGGTGCAAAGACTGGGGCACAGCATCCCGTTCACTGCCCAGACCTACATCTGCCACCAGGGGGCAGCATCTCCTATCTTTCCAGGATGCCTGAGCAACCCCCAGCCATCCCCAGGGACTGGATGTCACAATGTAAACATGACCACGCGATAAACCAAATGGGGCGGGAGGCAGGGAGGAGCGAGGGACTAGTGCAGCGGGGAGGGGGTCTGCCATTAACTACGTGTGTGACTTGGGGGAAGTCCCTTCCAGTCCTGCTTTTTAAGGATGCTATCACTGGGAATCAAGGACAGGGGATTCAGGGGGAGTCGGGGGCAGGAGAGTGGGGCGGGGGGGAGCGAGCCCATGGGGCAGTGCAGACAGTGGGGAGGGCAGGAGGCAGGCTCCGGGGAGCACTGGGGTCCAGTCCAACTGAGATGCTGTGTGCTTGGGCTCCCTGGCCTGGCCGCGCACTAGTGATTGAACTGGCTCAGTGCAGACAGCTGAGGAGCGAGGCCGCAGGGCCCTCCCTCTGGAAGATAGCTACGCGGAAGGTCTTTTAACCTGACGGTCACTCTACTTTAAAATTTTATTTTAAATAATCATAAATTACTTTTTTTTCTTTTAATAAATATGTGCTGTTTAAAAATGAGAAAAGTATATACTGCATCTTTAAGTAATGCACTTTGATCTCTGGGTTTCTTTCCATTCTATTTTATTTAAAGTGCATTAATTAAAAAATAATGAACCACTTCTTTATCATTATTGTTCAAATAAGTACAAATAATATTAATATGGAGACACTACACCACTACCATTAGTACTGCAATCTAGCAGATTAACTCATCCTGCCCTAGGTAATACTGTCCAGCAGAAGAAAATAACTAATTTCAATTTTCATAAAAGTCACAAAACAAAAGGAATTAGAACAATCTCACCATGGCCCTTTGACAGAGAATATGAGCAGTTTGCTATAGCTGCCAGGCGTCCGTGTACGGGAAGGACCAGGGTTTGGGGATCCCCAGGGAAGGCATGGTAGGGGTTGGGGGTGTCTTGAAGACCCCGAGGCGCTGGGTCCCATGCAGACCTGCCTGGGTGGGACGTAAGGGTGAGGGAGGCCTTTCCTCCTCTGTAGCAAACACCAACCCATGTCCAGGAACCTGGCAGCTGACCGGTGGCTGTGAAGCCTCGTCTGTCTGCATCAAAGGCACGTGTGGAAATCCACTCCCGGCGAAGGGGGAGTCCTTGAGGAAGCCGCCGGGCTTCTGGAGGGTCCCCTCTGAAATGCCAGCAACTGACAAACACAACCCACAGTTGACAGAGAGGACCCGTAGGGATCTTCCGTCTCGTCTCTCTCTTCACTGGGGCCCTGCCCCTTGGGAAGGCCAGGCTGGCTCCCAGCACAGGGTTCCTCCATCTTCTCGGCACCCGTGGCAATGCCAGGGGCCAGGGAGGTGGCTGGTGGTGTCGACTCCAGTCTGGCCCAGGGGTCCAGCCACGGTCCCACCAGCCCAGGGTGGGGGTGATGGCTGCTTCTCCACGGTTCATGTATAAGGCTTTCGGCCCTGCCTAGGTGGGGGGCCATTCACAGAATGGGGTCCCCCAGCAGCTTGGGTGCTGCCTCTTCTCCAAAAGGCTGGCTCCTGATGATGCCCTCCTCCCTCTCAGGAAGAGGACTGTTGCCCCTGACCCTCCAGGTCGGAAGGAACCAGAAGAACATTTCTCTGCTTCACCACGTCTGGGACCTGGGGCCTCCCGAGCCCCAAGCCCCTCCAGCAAGTGCCGAGCTCTGGCACCGTCCACACAGTGGAAACCGAATGAAACGACTTTGGCTTGTGGAAGGGGAGAACACAGAACGAAAACAAAACAAGCCCCCTCCCCAGGAGTACAACAGAAAAGCCCCCACACTACCCACCCCTTCCCGCTAGAGGCTGACTACCCTTGGGCCCCCAAACAATCCCAAAATAAGACCCAAACCAAAGGTCTGACATATTATCCCCAAATCTACAAATTGCTCCCAAAACATGCACAGGAACCAGCCACCCAGAATACCCAACACAGTCTGCGCAGATGAAGAGCCCGCTGGCTTCGCCCGCCCTCCTGGTGAACTCTGGTACTAACTGCCTGGAGAGGCCAGGACAGCGACAGCTAAGGGCCCTGGCTGGCACCTGGGAACAGCCTTTTCTTCACCTCACAGGTGTGGACAGTGGCCCGGCCCAGGGCAGGCTGAACCCACCTGGACACCTGAGTGCCCGAAGGCCCCTGCTGGCGGCAGCTGCGGCAACCCCGAGACCAGCACGATACATAAATACAAATGAGGACGACGCGGGGCCTGCCTCTGCGCCAAGATGCCAGCACCACACCCAGGCCAAGCAGGGCCAGGACATGGCGGCCCCTCTGATCACATCTTTTCCAGACGTGCAGCAAAGGCACGACTGCGGTTTCCCACATGGCCCGTCTCCAGTGGTGCATGGTCCATCAGTGAAGTCCCCAAGGCGCACCCGTGGGTCTGTTTTCTGGTCTCAGTCCCAGGCCTGGGACGGATCTGCCCACTCCCTTCACTTCTCCGTGTGGGCCCCCCGACTCCCTACCTTCCAGCTGGGAGAGAGCTGAGGGGCCTTCTTGGAGGTCCCGCGTTCCACTGTTAAGGCTGCCCACCCCCATTGTGCCCGTTCCCTTGTCTCCATCTCTCCGCTCCTCAGTGGGCGGCTCCAGTGGCACACTGAGGCTGGACAGACCCCGGCCCCTGTCAGTTCTTCTTCTCAAGGTAGTTGGAGGGCACCCAGCCTTTGAAGGGCTTCACCCCATCCAGGATCTGGCAGTACCACCAGCCATTGGGGTTCCTCTCCAGAACCTCCATGGACACCCCTTCCTGGAAGCCTGCCGTCTCCTCATCCCCCTCGTAGTCCGCGATGGACACGTACATGTCTTTGAGGTTGTTGTGGATGAACTGGGACTTCTCGATGGGCTTGGGGCGCACAGGGGACACAGGGATGCCATTGCGCTGAGTGGGCAGCAGGGGGGAGTCCGAGCCCTGGCTGGCGGCTCGCTCAGCCAGGCGGCCCTTGGCCTCGGAGGCCGCAGAGCGGGCAGTGCTGAAGGAGGAGTTCCGGCGGACGCTGCGGAGGCCGTCAGTGGCCGTGAGTGATTCGTTCCTCCGCAGGGCGCAGGACAGGTTGTTGTCCTTGGGTGGTGGGGACACGAACACCGACTGCGGCCTGACAGCCACCTGCCGCACGCCGTTCCTCATCTTCACAGCCCCAGCACCCGAGGTCTTGCTGAATCCCCCGGGGGGCTTGGAGGGGATGGGGGGCGTGGCCCTCTTGCTCTGGTTGACCGTGTTCAGGGCTTGGACCCGCTTCTCGATCTTCTCCAGGCTGTCCGACTTGCCCTCGTTCTGCCTGCTCTTGGCCGGCACGGCATCCAGCTCCTTGCCAGAAGGGTCAGGCTGCTCACTCTCTTCGAGCACCAAATAGTGGGAAGGGGCCCAGCCCTCGAGCTCCCCAAACCGCACGTACCACCAGCCGCTTTCCAGTTTCTCGAGCACCTGCACCTCCACGCCCGCGGGGAAGCTGATCTCCGAGTCCTGGACCTTCTGGTAGGCGCTGCACGTCGTGTGGGTGGTGGCCTGCCCCTCCCACTCCTTCTTGGTGGGGCACGGGGGGGTGGTGGCTGGGAGGGTGACGAGGTCGGCTGAGCCTCTCCTGGACCCCTCACTGGGCCCCTCGGAGGCTGTCTGTGGGGGCACCTCTGAATCCTCGCTCTTCGAGCCCTTGAGACCGCCCCGGAGCTGGCCCGTGGGCCGCAGCTGGCGCCGTAAAGTGCTGATGTCCATCCTCTCTTGACTCTGCGACTCTGCTCGGCTCAGGAATGGCTTGGGCCGGACTGACGGCTTGGCCCGGGCACAGGAGGTCAGCCCAGACTTCACGTCGACGTCCTTCTTTGCCCCAACCTTGGGGGTGCCGCGGATGCCTGCGTCCGAGGCAGAGCGGGGCTTCAGGTCACCAGTGTTCTTGGACAAGGAGGAGGAGGAGGAGGAGGAGGAGGAGCAGGTGGTGTTGATGGTGATGGACGAGGAGAAGGAGGCCGAGGAGTGGTTCTTCCCCAGCTCTGCCTGGGCGTTCTTCTCCACCTTGAGCTTTAGGAGTGACGATGACTTGGGAGAGCCTGACTTGGGGGAGTTTTTCCTGGCAAGGGACAACGAGGAGCCCCCCGGGGAGTCACTGTCCCCAGAGGAGCCTCTAGCCGACAGGTTGTCCTCTGCAAATGGCCTGAAGCCCTCGTTCTCATAGATGGTCTCCTCTTCCAGTGCCACGTCCTCTGAAGATGCGCCCACTTTGAAGTGGGCCCGCTGCAGGGAAGAGGCAGGCGAGGGCCTGTGGGGCTGCGGGGGCCGCCTGCCCCCTCCACGGGCTCCTCACCCGGCTCCGGCTCCGAGTCGAAGCCAAAGGCAGGGATGTCGTACTCAGGCTCCTCGTACTTGAGCTTCGGTGGGGAGTCCTGGCTCTCGCTGGCAGCCACAGGCCCCTCCTCGGCCTCCTTGGGCTTGCTGGGGGGTGCCGGAGGGGGCACCTTGGGCCGCGTCAGGGTGCTGGTGCGGCGGCTTAGGTTGGGCTTCTTGCGCTTGTCGATGTACGAGGCGGGAGCCCAGCCCTCCTTCTCGCCGATCTGCACGTACCACCAGCCGCCCGAGTTCTTGTCGATGACCTGAAGGGAGAAGGCGAGGCCTGTGAGGGCGAGAGTCTCTGGGACCCCGTGACGTCCTGGACTAGGAGCTTCCCGCTTTGGCTCCAGGACACGCGATCCCCATCTCACCGACGAGCAAATGAACCCGGTGTCCAGCCCAGGTCTGTATCACCGCATAGCGGGGGTGAGGAGGGGGTCTCCTACTCTCCGGTCCCTCTCCCAGGTCCACCTAGTCTGATCATCGTCCTGGCCTAACCGGCCTCCTCTCTAGACCTCCACTCCCCACGCTACTGCACACAGAAGCTGCACGGCCGCCCGTCCCTACTAAACCCTGCTCCCGAGGCCACCTGTACTACACGGCGCCCTCCCCCGCCACTCCAAGCATAGCGAGGTGCAGAGAATGGAAGGTGCTGGTGAACTGAGCTGGGGACACAGGCCCGAGGCCGGATGCTCCCCGCAGGGCATTTCCCTGGTGCCCGCTGCCAGTGGGTCCATGGGAAGCCCAGTGCAGAAGAGAGCCCTTTGGGTGGAGTGGCTTCCTGCATCTGTCACCTCTGACGGTACAAGCGAGTTCAGACACTCGTCTGTCCCCCTGAGGCCAGCTAATGGCAGGAGTGCAGCTACGGGCTGGACTAGGGTCACCTGGACCGGGGACAGATGGGAACTGGGGACACTCCTGGAGGAAGATGTCGCGGGGTGGGAGGGTGCAGGGGGCTGGGGAGGGAAGGAGGGTGGAGCACGCGAAGGTGAGCTCCGTGGAGACCAAGCCTCCGCAGCCCTGGGAAGGACGGGCATGCTCCTCCCTTCGCTCCCGTACTCCACCCTGCCCTGCCCTGCCCAGTGCCTGGAGTTCAAGCTTGGGGCTCCTCGGTATGGCCGCCTGGTCGAACATGAGGCCCGCAGGCCTGACACCCTGAACACCATGGAGCGAACAGCTTCTCCTGAAACTGCCCTTCGAATTCTAGACATGCGATTCCAGTCACTTGAAATGTCACCTCCCCAGCAGGTGGAGACCACCAACAGTTCCGACACTGTTCCATACAACTGGATTTAACTCCATCGGACAGAAGCCACTCTGGATAAGTGGCCTCGCCACAGATCTCTGTGCCCTGGAGTACCAAGCTCACACCGGCCACAAAATTGAGTTGCTAAATACCAAGAGACTGGCCGGGGATTGCAGAGAGAAATACGGCAGAGGGAAGAAGTGACTGCCTCGAAGGCCGGAGGGCCCACGGTGAGGACACGGCCAGGACTTAAACTCGCATCCCCTCTGCCTGGACCCTATTCTCCCAATAGCAGCGCTTCCTACTTCCTAGGGTGGGTCTGGGGGACCCTGGCCCGGAGGCTTACTCTACGAGTCTGATGCAGGGCCTCAGTGACCCTCCCCCTTTCCTCAGCTGGGAAGCCCGCAATTACAGCAGCTGGGTTTTGTTTAACCCGCTGTCTCCCTAGCTCATTCACCTACAGGAGCCCTTTGTTTTGGGGTATCCCCATTGAGCCCCTAAACAGGCTCTGGGAAATGCTGCTGTGAAGTGAGCTCTGGGCGTGGGGTGGAGGCCCAGGTCCCGGGTTCCAGTCCTGGCCACGGCACTGACCAGCTGCAGGCAGATGCTCCTCTTTGTGGGGCTCGTTCCTGCCTGCCCCTCAGGACTCACTAGCAAGACTTAAAGTGGGAAACGCAGTGGGTCTTTGACCACGTCAGCTGACTTTAGCTGCGTGGCCTCAGGCTTACCTCTGCTTTCTGTCCGCCCCTAAAGCTGATCCCATCGGAAATGCACGACTGGAATTCGGCGATGGTGTAGTACTCCACCTCAACGGAAGGGGGCTCTGGCGGCTTAGGCAGCTGGAACCCCTAAGGCAGACAGGGACAGGATGAGCAAAACCCACCTACCCAGGACGGGAATGAGGTCCGGGAAGGTGTCCTCGCTCCAGGACAGCAGGTAGCCTGTATATCCTGTCATCTGCCTCAGGGTATATCCCCAAGAGACTGCTCTCCTGAAGAGGTGTTCCCTTAGCACTTGGAATTCACTTGAGTCTCGGGGCCAGCAGGTGGTTAAGGTGCTGGACTCACACACGGCCGACGGCAGTTCGAGCCCCACACCTGGCAGCTTGAAAATCACACCAGGAACATGTCCATGTGTGCCCCAAATCCCAAGAGAATGGAGGAGAAGGGATTAGAGCAAGGTCATTTCCCCTGGGGAGTGATTTCTCACCTCACCTCTGCCCTGTGAGCACATCTGCCCTATAGCAAAAAATATCCACGTGAGTCTCATCTGAGCTGCCAAGATGCTCTTTTTTATTTTGACCAGAGGGCATGTGTACTTGGCAAAGAGTGAGAGGCAGAGAGAGGGAGAAACCAACCCTCAGTGGGGTTTGGTCACACTGTAGTCCCTCCTCCTCCATTTCTCTACCTTATCAGGATTTTGCGTACACATGTGCATGCACCCAGTGCACTCTTCAAGCTGCCAGGGCTGGGATTTGAACTGTACGGTAAGCCATGTGGGATCTGTGTACTTTAAGCACTATGCCATGGAGCTAGCCCAATTTCTTTCTTTCTTCCATAAAGAAAGGAGAGGAAGAGAGCCAGAGCGAGCACCCCCAAGAGGGTCTCCACACTGTGACCCACCCCCAGCCTCAGCCAGTCCTTATTATGAGCATATACATGCCCGGCGTACCCAGGGAAGTCTCTCGAAGTGAACCCAGAACCTTCCCAAGCGGGCTAGCCTCACAGAGCATTATGCTTTACTGCTCTGCCACTGTCTGGCCCAAATCGCTCAGTTATTAACTCAGTCATTTCTACTCTTACATCTCTGGGGGTCTGGTTTTCAGATGCCTCAATAGTAGGGTCCCAAATGAAAATTATAAACAGAGAAACTTGGGCCAGCCCATGGTGCAGTAGTTAAGGTGGCAGGATCCCACATGGCTGACTGCTTGGTTCGAGTCCTGAACCGGGGCACGTGTGTGTGTGTGTGTGTGTGTGTGCCCCAAATCCTGAAAGGAAAAGGGAGGAGAGACTGCAGTGTGACCATCCCCCATAGGGTGTGCTTTGTCACTTTTCCCCTCTGTCTGTTTCTGGGGAGCACACGTGCCCTCCAGCAAATGAAAACAAAACAAGGGCAGAGAAACCACTTGAACAAAGCCGTGGGCCCTGCCGGGTGGGAGAGGAGAGCTGCTGCCCTGAGTCTAAGTGTAAGGGCCGCGGGCGGGACCTGGTAGCAGAGGCGAGGCAGTGGGCACAGCCATTCCTACGGGTGGGACGGACTGAGGGGCGGTGAGGCTGGGTGAGAAAAGTCTCTGGGTGGTCATGACAATGACAGTGGTCAGGCGAGCACTGAATAAAAATCAGGACCCTTTGTTTCTGGGACACAGCAGACCGCACTGGAGGTCCCAAATGCTTTGGGGACGCCGGCACAGCAACATCTAAGCATGATGTCCAAGGACATTTAGAATTTGGCCTCAGCCGCGATCCCTGAGCCTCACTCATTTAGTTACAGCTAGTCCCTGAACATCCACAGGTGCCGGCCATGCTTCAAGGCAATGGGCATCTAACCGGAAACCGAAGGGCAACCCTCAGTGTGGGGCGCATGGGTTCTAGCTTCATCCAGTCTCTTTCCTGGCTAGGACTGGTGCCTCCTTACTCTGCCCTCCCTCTTACAAAGGGTTTGTGAAAACAAAACTATTGCGGGGGGGAATGGTGGGAGGGATATGGGGTGGGGAGGCAGCTATGGAGGACCAGGAAGACCTTGAAAGACCTCGGCCTTGGCGCTCGATTCCAGCCCCAGCAATTTGCCCGCTGCGTGCCCCTGGACAAGGCCTCGACCTCGCTGAGCTTTAGTTTCCTCATCTGTAAAGTGGAACTAATTAATAACAGTCATTAATATACACAACTTCCAGCCCAGCTGAAGCACAGTGAAGAGCCCTATAAATAAAAGCTGAGTGGCCAGCAGGTGGCGTGGTGGTTAAGGGCACTGGATTCCCACATGGCCAACTGTAGTTCAAGTCCTGGACCTGGCAGCTTGGTTTCTCAATTTCTTTCTCTCTCTCTCTCTGTCCCTATGGTCAAATCAAAATAAATAAATAAATAAATAAAGTAAAATAATTATTGAAAAAAATAATAAAGCCGAAGCTCGCACTTCTCTGGAAACATTCTCCTCTCCTGGGGAATGTCCTTCATCCTTGAAGGTGCAGCACGTCCCAAGGCTGGTCAAAACCAAGCTGCCCTGGGTCACAGTGAGAGAGGAGTGAGAAGCTGGTTCTGAGGGGCTGGGGATGAATCCGTCAAACTTCCCTGCCCTGTATCTCCAAGTGGGCGACGTGGCCCAGGCCCCAGCCCGGCCCGAGCCCCGGCCAGGTGGGATTCAGCTGAGCCTAACTGGAAACAGGCACCCTGCCTCAGCGAGCCCCACATTTCTAAGTGTGGAAGGAATTACTCTGCTCTTGCCAAAATCAAGTCTGCCTGAAAATAATTAACTGGGGCTAAGAGAGCTGCAGAAAGGCGAATTTGGGGGGAAAAGGGATCAGAGACTCCGCTGGAACCGACTGCCAGAGCAAGGAAGGTCTTATCTCAGGGATCGGACCTTTAAACCCCATATTTATGGAGGGCCTAACTCTTCCACGGACTGGCAGGACCCTCTCCAGGGCGGAGGTCACGGCCCACAGGAACTCTTGCTAGGCCCAGACGCCCTCAGACTCTGCCCCGCCACAGCGCACCAGGTCGCTACCAACAGTGAGGGCCAACACCGGAGGTGAAACCCGGCTGCCGGCGCTCCATACAACCTCTCATTTCGTCCTCACTACAGCCCTCGGTGATGAACCGTGCCCACAGACCGGGAAACTGAGGCTTGTGGGAGGTAAGTGAATGACTAGCATCCCTCCGCTCCTCAGAGTCAGAAGGAGGACACGAATTCACACGAGGCCGTCCCTAACCTTTCCCTGCATCCACTGCCCCCGTGACAGCTCTTTGTTCTGGGGCTCTTGGCTTGCCCCTAGCATTGCTGCTAGTCCAGACCCTGGCTCCCGATCACCACCTGCCTGTCCGAGCGTCTGGACACCAGGCAGCCCCCACAGGAGCTGGGGACCCCAGTAGCATTCATCCCCTTCGACCTCTGGCGTGAGGCGGCCCTCAGTTCACCCTCTTCCCTGGAGGCAGCTCGTTGGTGTGGCCTCTCCCCGCCCAGGCGCCGGCTGCCACCACATCCATCAGACACTCCTGCGCCAGGCAAGCGGAAAGCTTCCAGGCTAACACGGACAGCCGCCCCACTTCCAGCCCTTGGCAGTGCCCTGGCTGGACACTCTTGCCGGCCAGTCTAAATGTTTATGTCTGCCAGTGCAGAGGCTGGGATGGATTTATTTAGCTTTGGAGTGCTGTGTGTTTCCGATTATAAACTGTCCAGCCAGACCCCCAGGAGGGATATGCAGGCTTCCCTTCCCTTCCCTCCCTGCCTCCAGCCCCACACAGCTGGATGCCCCACCGGGGTCCTGAATACCGCTGGGCTAACAGACTGTGCGAGACAGCCAACTAACCAGGGCTACAGTGTACCCCCAGAAAAGGAGTGAAAATGGAATAAAGTCAGTCCACATACCAGGCTGGACTCTCTGCGTGGTGGGGGTCTTGTCCTTAGGTTTGGGGAGCCTAGAAGAAAACACATGGCTTCAGAAATCCCAGACGACGGGCCACCGTCCCTATACTTGCCTTCCGCGGGTGTGGCCAACACCTGCTCCTTGGAAGCTCACCCTTTCAGTCCCCATTTGTGAAGGGCCACGCTCTAAGCCACTGAAGACACTAGAACTGGGTTTCTTCCAGGGGGAAACGAGCCTTTAAGCTTTGCTGACTGTGCTTTGGGAGGATCCAGGAACCCTCTGAAAATTACATGCATGTTTCGAAACGTATAGACATACGGGCATTTTTCAGGGCAAAGGATGTACAGATTTACCAGTCTTTGAAAGTCAGGAGTAGGGACCGTGTCTATTTGTTCCTTGCTACTAAAGCCTTGGAAGCCAGCATCATGTCAGGCAAGAGAGGCGACCCATAAGTATTGCTCAACAGGCTGCCTACAAGGGTTCAGGCATGAGAGCTAAGTTAACGAAATTCAGAGCTAAGCGAAAAGACAGCTTTCCTCCAGATTTCAGACTAGCTGGATACAAACAGAAGCGGGACTCCCATAATATGGAACAGTTTAAGCAGAGGCACTGTTGGGCCTGGGCTGGAGGGTGCCAGATAGCCTGGTTTCCCCCGTAAGAATGAAGCTACTTCTCGAAGAGTACCCGTTGCAAATGCTCGTGGAGAATGGTAAGGCCTCCACTTTCAAGTCTTTCATGGTTCCAGGAATGGGTAGAGATGATAGGGAAGGAGCGGCCAAGGCCTGCAAAGATGTTCTCTAGGTAGGTGCCCCCAAAAGCAGCTCTGCAGACGAGGACCTCACTGAACAGCCCCGGGAATTGTTTCCCCCTTAATCAGCTGCACATCATGTATCTTGACATAGAGAAAAGAAAGCACTGGGGCCAGCCAGGTGGTATGGTGGTTAAGGTGGCTGGATCCCATATGGCCCGCTTCTGCTTCAAGTCCTGGCCCCGGCAGCTTAAAAAAACATGTGCTCATGAGCACGTGTGCTCAAATCTCAAGGACTGTGGCATGGTCATACTCCCAGGGTAGGGGGAGGTGCTTTCTCATTCTCTCTCTCTGGCGTGTGCCCTATAAACAAATGAAAAAGAAAAAAATGCTTCTTGCTCTTGGAATGCATTTAGCTGCAAAGTCGCCATCCCTAGCTCTCCACCAGAGGGTTTTAGACTCGCGGCCTGTTGTGCATGTACAATCATTTATCTTCAGTGGTGCCCCCTGGGAAGTGGAGTCCTTATCCTCCTGGGCCTGCTCCGCTCTTGTGATTAGTAACAGCTGACAGAGTGAGGGTCAAGGGTCAGTCTGCAGCTTACGAAGAACATGATGTGGGGGTCCTGCACTCCCCTTGTGCTTTCCCTGCACCCCCAGAGGTCAGCAAGGCTCTTACTGATTTGGGCCCTCTGAGGGGCAATCCTGGCCACAGCGGGAGAGCCCTGGGCCAGCTTGGAGACGGTCCTCTCGGGCACAGCCAGGGCGCTGCCATTGGAGGCGTTGCAAAGGATGGGCAGGCTGATCTCCTTCTTGGTGATGGGGGCCTCGGGGCCCTCGCCCTCGGCTGGAGGAGCCTCCTTGTCCCCAGACGCCTTCTTGTTTGATCTCCATGATGTTCCCGATGATCTCCACGGGGCCCGCCAGATTTTTCTTCCGGGCTGGCAGGTCATCCTTGGCCTTCTTCAGGTAGGATGCTGGCGCCCAGCCTTCTTTGCCCAGGTATCTGTGGGGAGGAGTGGGACACGCATCAGCACGGCACAGGCGCAGGGCCCACGGCTCACTTCCTGTCCCCGTCCCCGTCCGGCTCACTCAGCTGAACCTGCTCTTCACGTTCCCCCAGAGTCGTGGCAAGCCCACCACTGCTTTCCCTCAAGCTCCTTTTTCTTTGCCTAGTCCCTCCTGGTAGGGTCTCTCATTCTTTGCCAAGTCAGGCAGACATGTGGCTTTGGAGATTGCTCAGATTTTGAGTTAGAAATGTAGAACCTCAGGATGGCAGCTCCCACCATCGGTGGAGGGTAGCTCTGGAGCTACGAGCGGGAAGGTGAGAATGTGGTGCAGAGTTAAATGCCCTCCAGGAAAGGGAAGTGTTAGGAGAGGGAGATGTCCCAGGTGAGTCGGCAAACCTGAGATCTAGCCTCTGGTACCCTGGGTACGTCTCTTCTGCAGAGCTCAATGTTTTTCTCATACAAGATGCAGGCACAGAGTAGCTGCTGAAAATGTATCCAGAAGGACAAACGCAGGGAGACCCAACAAGACGATGCTTATACAGAATGGGGACAGGGGTCAGCAGGTGGCGTGGTGGTTAAGGCACTGGACTCCCACATGGCTGACCGTGGTTTGAATCCTGGACCTCGTGGCATGAAAATCACACTGGCCGCATGTGTGTGTGCCCAAAATCCCAAGGGGAGAATGAAGGAGAAGGGATTGAGGCATAGCCATCCCCCTGAGGGTGGGGGAGATTTTTCACTTTCCCTCTGTCTCTTTCTGGCAAATCCATTCCTAAGGAAAAGAAGGGGGGGGATGGTGGTGGCACCGCTGCAGGGAGAAGGAGCAGACCATGCTCACTCACCACATCTACGGATGGCCTAAAACGTGACACTTCAGATGAGCAGGGCAAGGGCAGAATATATGTCCAGTGATTTGAGGACAACTGATTACCCAGTTAGGACAAACAAGTAAGACTCTGGCTTCACATCACATAGCAAAAAAAAAGAAAAAAAAGGCAGAGGTTGAGGGGTTGGGTTGAGGAAAGTCTTCGAAGTGGGGCTCCAAAAGCAGAAACTATAACTGAAAAGGCTGAAGGCACATGACTGAACAACCTTGAAACCACTGCTATGGTAAAACAGAAACAACACAAAACGAAACGAAACAAAACCAAAGCTCATAAACAAAAGCAAGAAGCAAATGACAAGGCTGAGTTAATGTGTGGGGATTCAATGACCTTTTTTTCCTTTGGATAGGAGGCATGTACTCACCAGAGAGAGGCAGAGAAGCAAGGAAAGAGGGAGAGGGAGAAAGCACCCCCCAATGAGACCTGGTCATGCCACAATCCTGTCTCATTGCTCTACCCTGTTGGGATTTGGAGCACGAATGCACTTGCCTCCTGGGTGTTTTTCAAGTCACTGGGGCCAGGACGCGAACTGCGCTTGGCCATGTGGGATCCAGCTTTCTTAACCAGTAGGCCGTGGGCCTGCCAGATCCAATGACTTAACTCTTTTTAAAATTAGTTTGCTATAGGATGCATGTGCTTAGAGAGAGAGAGAGAGAGAGCGAGAAAGTGAGAATGGTCACGCCACAGTCCATTCTATTTCATTCTCCTCTCAGGGTTTTGGGCATGCACACAGATGTGCCCAGGGTATTTTCCAAATCACCAGGTCTGGGACTTGAACTGTTGGCCATGTGGGATCCAACTACCTTAACCACCACATGACCTGGCTGGCCCAGATTCAATGATTTCTTAAAAAACAAAAAACAAACAAACAAAAAACCCCACCTTTTCCCTTCTTCCCCATGGTGATGAGCTTCCACCCATACCCACTGGGAGTTCACTTCCTGGTCCAACAGTCGCCAGCCAGTGCCCTAAGATCTGGTTGTCCCCATCTGCCTCCTGGGACATATCTGGTTCTTTAGAATGGCTCCTCCATGCCAGATGTCTGACAGTCTCCTCCCCACTCCTCGATCTGAACTTGTTCTTGGGTGCTCATTAGGTGGGAGAAAAGCAATGTGGAAGCTGAAGTGCCTATCAACGTGCCTGAGCTATGCTGGGAAACTCACACGGGAGGCTGGCTTCTTACAGGGGTTGCGGCATAGGAGCAGTCAGGTAGGCTGGGCTAAGCTGACCTGCCTGGGCTTAGAAGGCAGACGTCAGTGAAGAGATGGGCACAAGTCAGGGGGCTGTTCCTGGCTCCCTGATGCAATGGGTGCAAACAGAAGCACAGAGTCAGGGAAGAAGGGGGATTAAAATACTGTTTTTTTTTTTTTTTAAACTTTATTTATTTATTTATTTATTTATTTATTTTGTTTTGAACAGAGGGCTTGTATGCAAAAGAGAGAGAGAGAGAGAGGAGAAAGCACCCTCCCCATGAGGATGGTCACACTGCATGCATACACATGTCAGGTGTTTTTCAAGCCCCCCCGGTCCGGGACTTGAGCTGTGTGGTTAGCCATGGGGGAATCTGTCTGTCTTTACCACCAAGCCACAGAGCCAGTCCAAATACCCAATCTTTATATGAGCCAACAGCCAAGGTTCAGCAAAACAAGTAGCAGAGGGTCACATAGCCACCTGTGGGTAGTGTCCAGCCAGAGCCTGGTGCCCTTGCAGCTCAGAAAGAAGATGAAGCTGAACCCGCCTGCCCTTGCCAGGCCTGTCTGTGCACACAGTAGACATGGGGAGAGGGGTCTCCAGGGGGAATGGCCAGGCCCACGTACAACCCCGAGTGCTCCCATTTCAAAGCCCTCTGTGTTCCTTCGGTGTTACACAGACAAAATTAGATTCCCAGACTAGAAAAGCAGGGAATCAGGAGTGGCTGTGTGCATCTGCTTCCAACTCTGCTCACATCTGCTTTCCAGCTCTGGAGCATGGAAAGACTCCAGAGAGAAGCAAATTGGAAAGGAGGGATGGGGAGAGGAGGAGGAGAAGAAAGACAGGAAATGAGGATCAACACAGAGCCCGGAATGTTGGGAAACAGTATATTTAAGGAGGTGTCTGGCATCCTCTTAAGGTGGAACTTTTCAGTAGGGTTTTCTCAGTCCAAGCTCTTGCTGACTAAAGGACTCGGCCATGGGGATAAGAGCTGACTAGGAGACCAGCAGTTAGCGTAATGGCTATGTTGCTGGACTCCCAGGTAGTCGACCGTGGTTTGAGTCCCAGACCCAGTGGCTTAAACTCACGCCAGGCGCGTGTACGTGCGTGCCCAAGATCCCGAGAGGAGAATGGAGGAGAAGGGATGTGGCGTGGCTATCCCCTCTGGGGGGTGATTTCTCGCTTTCTGTCTCTCTCTGTCTTTCTGGCGTGTGCATGTGCCCTAATCTTAATTAAAAAAAAAAAAAAAAAGAGCTGACTAGAAGCAGCTCAGAGTGACTTGATTGTTTTAGAAAATGGAAAAATAAAATAAATGGAACAGAATTAAATATTGGGTTGTCGGAAAAGTCATGACGCATTTTTACGCAGAAAAAAATACGTCATGACTTTTCCGACAGCCCAATACAGTAGAACGAAATACAGCAACTTGCAGAAGAGAGATGGGCTGCAGCCTGTAAGAACGCTCGCTGGCCTTCCGTGTCGGACCCGGGGCTGTCGGATTTGGAGGCTGGCTTTAGTGTACATTGCTCAGACAGTCTAGGGGCAGTGGCACTGGGCAGCATGCCCAGCATGCCCAGCCCACCTACCCAGGTCCAGCCGCGCTGACTGACATGCACGGGGCAGTGGGGATGAGGGGAGTCATGTCCCATCGGGTCACACTTGGGTTTAATCTCCCTGTGGCCCGTGACCTTCATCTCGCCCCTCAGCACAGACCAGCCTTCCCCACCTCTGGGTTCTGAACAACTGTCCCCCAGTGTTCATGCTGCCTGGTCTCCGGGTTGCCACAGAACCATCCAGTCCCTCTGTGGAGACCGCTCAGAACATACATCCAGCCCACAGTGGGTCTGGGGTCCCCACAGCCCAGACATGGGGTACCTCAGGGTTACAGGCAAGGAAGAGAGGCTGGGCAAAGTCACCACAGCTGAGCTGTTTCCAAAGGGACCACAAACACGTCCTGAGCCTAGGGACTCGAAGGGCAGGTCTCAGTCAAGTGACAATGAATGAAGCCATAGGGCTTAGTTTGCTTGCAGGTGATCAGGAAAGCCCCCACTCCCCTCGCCACACTCCCAAATGGGGTTCTCAGCTGGGACATGTGACTAGGCACCATGAGGATGGCTGAGCAGGGCCTGGGCTCAGGCCTCCCTTTTGTCCCAGTCCTGCAAACCAGCCCTGCATCCGCCAGCAACGTGGATGGATGCCGGAGGCCCCGAGGGCTCAGCTGTGGGCCGCAGAGGCTGCCTGCTGGGGCCTTAGTGAGGCTGTGGATGCCAGCACCCCTGACGGCCCTAGCTGCGGAGGCCAGGCAGCCAAGGCCGGACGCAGAAAACCAAACTCAGATGTGCTGAACTCTCTTGGCACATGTGTGGGAGGGATTGCACCACAGGCTACAAGCTGAGCCCAGGCCCCTGTGCCCTACTGGCTGCGGTCAGGCTGTGCCTGGTGTGTCCCAGGAGAGCCTGCCACACGAGGACTCTGCAGCTCAGCTCTTTAGTGGGATGGGTGCCAAGTCGCAGCTGGTATCTACCTGCCCGCCCGCAGGTAGCCATGGCCCCTCTGCCCTTGGCTCTGCTGCCGGGCCCTGGGAGGGCCTGGGCAGGGGAGGCATCTCGACCTCGTTCCCATGGTCCTTACCTGATGTACCACCAGCCCTCCAAGTTCTTCCGGATCACCTCCACGGTAACGCCCTTCTCAAAGCCAATCTCGTCCTTGCTTTGGCTGGTGTAAGGCTGCACAGTGACATACTTCTCCTCTGTGGGCGAGGGAGGGTGAGAAAGTAAGATTATTTGAGGCAGAGTATAGGCCTGCTTTCTGTTTCCCTCGCCAGCCCCGGCCTGGCTTTGCCAGGATGCCTGTCAAGCACTGCATCAGCTCTGCCTTCTCCAGGGTTGGGAAGGACCAGGAAGGTTATGGGGGTGCTGCCACTCCCTATGTGTGCCAAAGCCAGCCAGGACCCCAGGTTGCCCTAAGCCCCTGCACAGCATGGAGTGAGCCCTGAGTCTGAGAACAGCAGCCAGGCTCTCAGGGCCTGGAGTCCATAGGGCCCTAAAGCCTGCTGAGTTGAGGGCGGGGTTGGGAGAAACCTGCCTTTGGATGGGTCCTAGTTTGGAAGTCTGACCAATGCTGGGCGGTCCTGAAATGCCTTGAGGTCCCACAGTTCTCCTTGGAACAGGTCGTGACTCTCTGCGTCCCAGACACGCTCTCCTAGCCCTGCCCCTTCAGTTCTTCCTCCGTCTGACTTTCAGCCACTGCAGTGACACCTCCTAGGTGAAGCCTTCCCTGAGCACGGGGCCAACCTGTAACCCTGAGGTACCCCATGTCTGGGCTCTGGGGACCCCGATAATGCAGTTCCCCTAGAGGAGGTCACAGTTCTATGGGAGTGGTTATGCGTGTTCCCTGAAGGGTCCTGGGGCCAAAGGGGCAAGGAAAGGCCAAGTACAAGACAATCAGGCAGGGGGCCCCGTGGGCCCTCCCAGGCCAGGGTGCCCGTATGCCTTTTGGGGAAGGTGATGAGCTGAGCTTGGTGCCTCTGGAGAGCTGCCCGCTCTGTCTTGCTCAAGGTTTTCCTGAGGTACTGGGAAATCCCAGAAGAGCTTGGGAAGGCAGATGTGGGAAGGCTGGGGCACTAGTGTCCCCCCTCATTCTATCTCCTGGCAGGAGGTCCTTGCTTGAGTTGCAGGGCAGTGCTTCTTTCATATCCACTGGGGTCTGACCCATGACAGGTGATCCAGACGTGGGTCCTCCCTGGCTCTGCCCGCAGCTGGCTGGCCAGACACGCTGGTGAGACCCTCCTCGGAGGACCACTCAGGGCTCAGAACAGTCTCCCCCCACCCTCTGGGAGAGCAAGGAGCAGAGGCAGAGAGGGGTAGAACTGGGGCTAGCCTGTGGTGTGGTAGTTATGGTGGCTGGGTCCCACACGGCCCATAGGGCGGTTCGAGTCCCAGCCCTAGTGGTTTGAAAAACTCACTGGGTGAGTGTGCGTGTGTGCTCGAAATCCTGAAAGGAGAATGCAGAAGGAACTTCAATGTGACCATCCTCCACGGGGGTGCTTTCTCCCTGCCCCCCATCTTTCCAGCCAGCACCTGCACCCTCTAGTAAATTAAGGGGAAAAAGAGGGTGGTGAGAGGGTAGAACTGGCAATCTGGCCAACACCCTCTGGGAGGGTCACCCTGAACCCATGTCTGGGGGCACACAGTAGGACTAAGAGATTACTGACGGCGTCAATGAGGAGAGAGTTGAGCAGGGGCGCCGAGCATCTCTGGGCTCACAATCGCAGGGTGTTGGCGCAGAATGAGAACACCAGCCTGCCGCTGCCTCTCCCAGCTCCCAGCCGTGACAACTGCCCCCTGGCCTCCCTCGCTGGATCGTGGTGTGCAGCCTGCCTGAGCCTCTGCCAGCTGGGGGGCAGGGGGCAGCTGCTGCCCCACTCCTTGCAGTGGGAGGGCCAGCTGTTCACCCCCTGGATTATCGGGGTCCTGTCTATAGCCCTGTGGGGCTGAGATAGCAGCCTTTTGGGGTGGAGGTGGCTGCCCTGCCAGGCTGCAAGGAGGGAGCTGATGGGCCACTGGCCGACCTCAAGAGGCTGCCAAAAAGCAAGAGGTGGGTAATGGCCCATGGGCACCTGCAAAACTCCTCAGCCTGCCCTTCTCCCCTGCAGGCCGTGCTCAGCATCCTGGGAGGGCCCTGCTTCTGGAGGCATTCCGATTCCAGCCCAGCCATGCTGAGGGTTACTGCCAAGGCTGCCTGAGAACCCCGCCTGGCCAGATTCTGACTCAGGCTTTGAGAAGTTCAGTGCTCGACACTCCAACCCCCTGCTCTCCTGTCTACTGGGCCCACTCTACTTTCCAGTGGGGCCCAGTAAACCCTGGCCCAGGAGGTGGCCAGAGGGGCAGCGCCAAGCCCCAGGAGTCCAGGGTTCTGAGGGTAGGGAGAGGCGAGGCCTGGGCTCCACATTCTGCCTCTGCTCAGCTTAGGGTGAGGGGCGGCCTGGGCTCCACATTCTGCCTCTGCTCAGCCAGGCTATTTTTAAAAGCCTGTGGTTTGAGCAGGAAGCCAGCATGAAAGTTTTCCCGGGCAAGGTTGCTTTTGTAGAAAAAAATGACAGCCCTTCTCATGGGAAGATCAGAGGAGCCCTGCCCTGCATGGCAGAGAACAAAGCCAAGGCCCCCTCGTGTGGGCTCAGCCTCCTGGGATGCGTGGGGAGGACAGAGTCCCACAGACCACGCAAGCGCCTGCTTCCTCCTGACCTCTCGGGCAGCGGGCAGGGCCAAGGGTAGCAGTTCTGGTAGGTAAAGAGGAGCTGCTCCTGCAAAAGGCCTGTTTTGAGGGGGTCCCGAGGCTGTGGTGACCACGGGCACCCCGGAGGTGACACGCTCCTGATAGGACCACTGGGCCAGTTCTGAGGCTCGTCCCTGCAGGGTCCGAGGGATGAGCACGCAGGGCCCTGGCCCGGGCAGGCCTAGGCATCAGACCAGCTCATCCCAGCTGGCTCTTTAGGGACTTGGCTTTCTGCCCAGTGAGAGAGGCGTGGACTGTCTCCACATGGCCACCTGCCAGGAAGTCTTAGGCCTCCCCACTCACAGGTGTCCCGCGATGCAGAGACAGTCTACGCTGGACCTGGCTGCAAGCCCCACCTGGGGGTGCCAGACAAGACAGAAACGGCCTTGGTGGGTGGCCGCATCGCTCAGGCTGCTCAGTGTCCCTGGAGAAGACGCCCCCAGGAGCCAAAGTTGAGGGAAGGGAGACTCTGAGCTTGGGGGGGGGGCCCTCAGGACTTCTGGGAAGTACTGGAGCTGTGACACTCAGACCACGCCATCAAGAGGGCTGGCCAGGCAGCTGGCGAGGGGGGGGGTGGGTGCTGGGG